GTGTAGAGTTTTGGCCGCCTCCACCGGTCTTCCGGCCCACTGTGGAGCGTGTCGTTTGAGCGTGCCGTGTGGCTAATGGCAGCCCGGATCCCCCAGTTTGCGCCCCACCGGAGCCCCGCGTGATCCCCATGATCTCCTCGCTGGGGCCCCTCATGGGGTCGTCATCGCCTCCAGCGCGATCAGGCGTGCGGACTGCCGGGACGGGGCGCACCTCGCCCAAGCGATGACGCGCTTCGGCGGCACTGCCAGGAACTGCCAGGAAGGCGGCGAAAAGGGGAAGCCAGGGCGCCCGCCCCGGAAAAGCGTGTGCTCTGGATGAAGACGCGGAGGGAGATTCGCACGGTGGGCCAGAAGACCGGAGGGGGTGGCCAAAACTCTAGACGCGTTTTCAGCTCCGGAGTCGCTAAACGGGACTCGAACCGAACGTGTGACCCCACCAATGTATTGCTCTCCGAACGAGGAATCCATTGGTGGGGTCTCACGTTCGGTTCGAGTCCCGTTTAGCGACTCTGGAGCTCAAAACGTGTCTAGAGTTTTGGCCGCCTCCACCGGACTTTTGGCCCGCTGTGATTCGGCCAAGTAACTGTACTACTTCTAGTGCTTGTTCTTTCCCGGAGAAACGCGGCAACGCGGCGCCGCAGGACTTATCTGAAAAGGTGGTGCCTCTAGCAGAGTGCTGGAGTGGTCGGACTCCCAGTGGGCCGGCCTCGCGTCGTTTGACGCTTCCGGGTCTCTCTCTCTCTCTCTCTCTCTCTCTCTCTCTCTCTCTCTCTCTCTCTCTCTCTCTCTCTCTCTCTCTCTCTCTCTCTCTCTCTCTCTCTCTCTCTCTCTCCCCAGCCCCGCCGACCTCACGGAATTCTGGGTGAACAGTTCGAATTCTCGGGCCTGCCGGGCCGCCTGGCCCACTAGAAGTGGTTGGCGGGGCCCTGCGGGGTCGGCGCTCCTCCGGGACTCCGGGAACGTCTCCATCGTCGCCATCAAGCTATTGAATGGCTTTGATGAAAAGCGGGGTGGTGTCGTTGAGGCTCGATGAACGCGGCACGCCGATATGGCGCGATGCTCTGTCTCTCTCGCACCCGTACGGACCGGCCCGCGGGTGCGACGGAGACGGAGCGGCGGCAGCGCTGTTGAGAATCAGCCCGCGGGGCAGCACGGCCCAGGGTTAGCGCGCCGCAGTGGGCCAGAAGACCGGTGGAGGCGGACAAAACTCTAGACGCGTTTTGAGCTCCACAGTCGCTAAACTGGACTCGAAACGAACGAGTGACCCCACCAATGGATTCCTAGTTCGGAGAGCAATCCATTGGTGGGGTCACACGTTCGGTTCGAGTCCCATTTAGCGACTCTGGAGCTCAAAACGCGTCTAGAGTTTTGTCCGCCTCCACCGGTCTTCTGCCCCACTGTCCGCGCTCATTTCGGCGACCTACTCGCGTTATGAGCAATCTGTGAAGGCGGGGCGGGGCGTGCCCGTCAGGGGAACATATTTCGTCCCGAGATGCGCGGCCAAATTTTGGGTCAAGCGCGGAGGGCCCCGCCGAGCCCCGCCAAGGCGCCCCTTGGCGGTGCAATTTGCAAGGAGCGTGCACTCCCTGGGAGATACGGGCCGCGGACCGCGCCGTAATCCGTGCAGTGCAGCACATTGGTTCTGGCCGTTCATAAACCGTGCGCTCTCTCTCTTCTCTCTCTCTCTCTCTCTCTCTCTCTCTCTCTCTCTCTCTCTCTCTCCCTCTCTCTCTCTCTGTGTGTCTGACACGCCTGCGGGCCCGCGGGACGCTCCGTCGGTGCGAGAGAGACAGAGCTGCAGCCCGGCATGATGCGGTGTGTTAAATGTGGGGCACGGAGGGTCGCGGCCCCAGGCGGGGTGATGATATTAAATAGGTCGGCTGAGACTCAGAGCGGAGCGGCGCTCAGCCCCACCCCGCCTGCAGAGCGATGGGGCCTGCGCTGCACTGCGCTGCAGGGGCCATGCACCCGCCAAACTGCCCTCGACCTGCCCCTGCACAGTGGGCCAGAGGGCAGTTGGGGGCGGTCCCTGGATGCGTTTTGGGCTCCAGAGTAGCTAAATGGGACTCGAACAGAACGAGTGACCCCACCAATGGATTGCTCTCCGAACGAGGAATCCATTGGTGGGATCACACGTTCGGTTCGAGTCCTGTTTAGCGACTCTTGAGCTCAAAACGCGGCTAGAGTTTCGGCCGCCGGCGCCGGTCTTCTGGCCCACTGTGCCCTGTGGTGGCTCTGTGTCTCTCACTCTCACGGTGCGCCCCGAAGGGGTGTGAGAGAGACAGAGCGACTGCCGGTCCGCGGCCTTAGCGCCTGCCATTGGCGGGATAGGCAGCCCGGCGGGCTCCGCTGCGCGCGGCCCGAAGGATGGCCTGCTTGCCGGGCGCTCTGCAGCACCGCGCGCCCCGCCGGGACCTCCTCCTCGAAGACGAGTGCCAACGGGGGACCAGCGGGCACCCGCGGTGACCCGATGAAGATGAAATTGCTGGCATTTCTCTGGTGTGGGTGAGTTTTGATCCACGTGTGTGCTCCCCGGTGTGCCCTACTGGCGTAATGGGTTATGGAAATGTTTTGGAACACACAACAGCGCGCGAGCGCCGAGGCGGGGTCCTCCTGGACGGGCCGGGGCATTGTTGGCTCCCCCACCCGCTCGCTCTCTTCGCTCCGAATTTCTGGCGCGAATCTTTCTTCCCGCCTTTTCCTGTCAGAATCTTTATTCGTCGCCCTCTTCGCCCCGTGCTTCGCGGAGACTGTCCGCAAAGAGAAGAAGAAGAAGAGGAAGAAGAAGAACTATTTGAACCTTTCCCCGCGTCTTTGATACAACGTTTTATTGTTATTTATGTTGTTGTTGTTGTTTATTTTTTTAAACGCCACCCGCGGTGGTCGCGGCGGATGAGGAATGAGATTTCTTCCCGGCTGAGCTGAGCGTTCATCAAAAATTAGGGCCAGTAAATCTGGGCGAGGCGGAAGCGCTGAACCACGGAAGCGGCGGAACCACTTGGCGAGAATCAAGTCCGGTGACGGTGGCGCCCGCGGGCGCACAGCGGGCCAGAAGACCGGTGGAGGCGGCCAAAACTCTAGACGCGTTTTGAGCTCCAGAGTCGCTAAATGGGACTCGAAACGAACGTGTGACCCCACCAATGGATTCCTCGTTCGGAGAGCAATCCATTGGTGGGGTCACACGCTCAGTTCCTGTCCTGCCTAGCGACTCTGGAGCTGAAAACGCGTCTAGAGTTTTGGCCGCCTCCACCGGTCTTCTGGCCCACTGTGTGGCGGCGAGGCGGCGATCTAGGTACACAAACCAACTGAAAACGAAAGTCCGCCCTCTTGCCCCTCCAGTCACTTCCAGTGTGGTGCCATTAGCGCCTTCGGCCCTCGGCAGCGCCACTAATCTTCATTTCCCCGAGGAATATTTTTCCTGCCGCTTATTTCTGCCGGCCTTCTTGGCCTGTGCGTCTGTTTGCCCCGCGTTCATCTGGGCTGGCTGGCTCGCCCCGGCTTGCCCCGGGGCACGGGGCCGGCAACGCCCAGCCGCGCCCCCCGCAAACTTTATTCCGCCCACACTTCACGTTCATCCATCCAGTGTAGCTCCAGCGTGGCTCCAGTGTAGCTCCAGTGTAGCTCCAGCGGAGCGGCCAGGCACAGCAGTCACGTGACCCACTGCTCTACAAACTGAAGTGTGTACTCAGTATGCATCTACAGATGCATACTTGCAAGTACACACCTACAGATGCATACTTAGCTGAGTACACATCTACAGATGCATACTCAGCTGAGTACACATCTGTAGATGCATACTTGGAGAGGTTAGGTATGCATCTGTAGGTGTGTACTCAGCCAAGTATGCATCTGTAGATGTGTACTCAGCTGAGTATGCATCTGTAGATGTGTACTCAGCTAAGTATGCATCTGTAGCTGTGTACTTGCAAGTATGCATCTGTAGATGCATACTGAGTACACACTTCAGTTTGTAGAGTGCCCTCCAGCATCGTTCCAGCGCAAAAAAAAATTACTCAATTTTTAGGCACGAAGTAGCCTTATTTATAAGTAAAATTCAATTGGATTAATATTCTTTTCGTTGAAAGAACAAGGAAAGAATATAGTTGTTCTTTTTTCCTGCGATGTTCCATCATGACGCTCTGTCCACATGCCGTTCACCTCGGGGTGTGGCCTCGGCTCGGGTCATGCTGATGCCGGCCGAGTCGGGTTTTCTGGAATTTAACGCGACTTTGCCGACTGGCTGGAGGGCGCTCTGGAAGGCGCGCAATAGTGGCAATGATGACGTCACCCTCCACGATCCCCACACGTTAGTCCGCAACAATAACAGTAACGTGGAACTGCCGATAAGTTCGGCCGTGTCGGTCGGTGGGTGTTTTCGAGTTTGCTGATGTGGATCTGATGCGGAGAGAGAGAGAGAGAGAGAGAGAGAGAGAAAAGGGAGAGAGAGAGAGAGAGACCGAGTGAGAGGGAGAGAGAGGCTGAGGGGGATCGCAAAATAAAAAAGCGAGTGAAGTCCATAAAACGCCATACAAGATTACTGGCGGATGAGTTCGGGTGTCGCGTCAACTTTGTTCTCGAAGGAACCCCCTTATTTCGGGCGGCCCGGCCTCCTCGCCGGAGAAAGCGGAGACGAAAACAAACGGCATTACACTGTAAGGGGGAAGGGGGGGGACCGTGACGTCACTACACTATGATGAGAGTGGCCGAGGCAGGGCGACGCCCGACGCCCAGAAATAAGGAGAAAGCTGAGAAGCGTATCAAGAATTCGGGGGCAGTCGCCGATTCGCTGATCGAATTTGCTAAGCCCCGACCGATTCCGAGGGGCGCCAAAGGAGCGAGGGTGCACAAACAAAGGTTCCCCGCGCGACGACCAGAATGCACTGTGCACTGTACAGCCAAAGATCCTGCCTCACGAAACGCAAAGTTAGAACACCCTGCAAGAAAAAAAAACACAACAAAAGTTCCAGCACTAACGTTGAAATCCTCCCCGTGTGTTGCAGGGACCTGAGCAGCAACAACATCACTGAGCTGAGTGACACCGCTCTGGACGGCCTGCCCGCGCTGGAAGAGCTGTGAGTACAAACCGGCGACGATTCTCAGCTCAGCAGAGCTCTACGGCGGCACGTTCCTGGTAGACATCCCCATTCCAGTTTTTCCTGACGCTAACAACGTCCTCCATCACGCATTAAAGGGGTCCTCAGATCCATCAAGCGGCCCCGGAGGAGGAGGGGGCGGGAAGGCGCAGTGGGCCAGAAGACCGGTGGCGGCGGACAAAACCCTAGACGCGTTTTGAGCTCCAGAGTCGCTAAATGGGGCTCGAACCGAACGTGTGACCCCACCAATGGATTCCTCGTTCGGAGAGCAATCCATTGGTGGGGTCACACGTTCGGTTCGAGGCCTGTTTAGCGACTGTGGAGCTCAAAACGCGTCTAGAGTTTGTCCGCCGCCACCGGTCTTCTGGCCCACTGTGGGGGGGGGGGGGGGCCTCAGTCATACCCGCCGTGTTCCGGGAAGGCCGCGGCCATTCCGACTTCGCGTCGTAAAACACCTCGGAAATTTCAACGACATTCCCACGCGACGGACTTCAGGGAACGGCCGCGCCGGTGACAGGTCCGCACCCGTTTCTTGTTAACGTTGAATCTGGTACGCGACAGTTCCAAAAAATAATAACATGATAAAAAATTTAAAAAAAAACGATTTGACAATAATCAAAGAGTGCGTTTATAGTGAACGAGGACATGTGTGATCACAGCTAGTGCACCTCATTCGGCAAAATAAATTAACGCTATAATCGGAAATCTGTAATGTGCGGTTGCTCACCCAGAATAATGGTTCCTTAATTTTTAATTTTCTTGGTTTTTTTTATAGAAAAAGAGTCTTGAGAGAAGAAAATTTTTCTGCATACAAGAGACAAAGTTTAAATAAAGAAAAATTATCTTGAAAAAAAAAAATAACGAGAAAAGTTAATTCTTTCTTGATCCAAGAAGTCACTTTTTGGGGGTGCGGTTTCTTGAACCTCCTGGGCGTGTAGACTGCTTGAAATCCGGCCCTGCGTTTAGTCTGGGCAGGCAGCTGCTGGCAACGGCGCCGCGCGGCAACTTGCAGCTTAGCTCCGCTGCAGCGCCGGAAATGCTAACTTTTGCCCCCCGGCGAGTGACTGCAAGACGCCGGCTGAATTGTATGTATGCTCTGTTGCAGGCTTCTCGGAGACAACCACCAACTGAGGATCCACTCCCAGGCGTTCCAGCGAACCCCCCATCTCAAGAAGTTGTAAGTATTCCCACACGGGGGCCGAGGAGGGGGGGGGGCAGTGCCCCGACTGCCAAGCAGCAAGAAAAGAAAGGGGGAGGGAATCGTGAAACTTAATCTTTTCCGTCACCACGTCCCTCACAGCAGACTGATGCCGAGAGTCGTCGCTCTGTCTCTCTCGCACTCATGGGGCGTGCCGTGTAGGTGCGAGAGAGACAGAGCGACGGCTCAGTCCGCAGCAGGGCCGTGTCTATCCACTTAGCGTGCCGCGGAGCGCTTCTTTAAAGCGGTTCTCTTTCCTCCTCTCTCTTCTTAATTTTTGCCAGTGGCTTAAACGCCACCAACTCCAGAGAGGGGGCAGCCGCCGCGAAAGCGACGGCGGTGTTTCTAGCAAGGATTCCGGGAGAATTTTAACTTTGAATTTGAAATTTTTTAAAAAATACGTATAGATGATGCTGAATTTGAACCACAAGTCGTTTTCAATTTTTGTCACATTTTGCTTCTTGCTCGCAAAAAAAAAGGCCAACTGTGAATTCTTTGGATCACGCCCCCACAGTTTTACCACCGTCCTTGAAAGACCGCCGGCCGTCGCTCTGTCTCTCTCGCACCTCTACGGGGCGCGCCTCGAGTGCGAAAGAGACGGCCCACCGTAATTGTGGCGTTATAAATTAAGGCGGAAGTAGTTGCCGCCGAGCCCATTAGATTCTTTTTTTGTTGTTGTTTTTTCGGCGCCCCGCGGGAGCAGGCCACGGCCGGGCGAATTTCCACCGATGGCCGCCTGGCTTGTGTAAGCGCGGCACATCTTGTCTGTTTCTACGTTTTTTTGTGTGTTTTTCTTTCAACCTGTTAAAAATAATTAAGAAAATCCTGGAAAGTTACTTTTTAATCTCCGTCGGGAATTTCTGGAGGCCTTCGTTTCTCAATTAAATACCCACCGGAAACTGGCGGAGACAAGCGGAGAGAGTTTTTAGGACTTTTTCAAAAATTGCTGGCAATTTTCTTTTCCTTTTTTTAGCAAGTTTTCCGGGTTTTTCTGGATTTTTTCCCCAGTGCCTTAACGTCCGTCGCTTCCTTGCCTGCAGGTCGCTCCAGAGCTGCGGCCTCCGCGAACTGCCGGACGCCCTGCTCAAGCCGCTGCGACGCCTCACCACACTGTAAGTCGTCCGCCGCCCGGGTCGCGGGTTCAACTCCCGCCCGGAGCTAAAGCGCTGCGGTCGTGCAATTTTCGCGCTTACTCTTTCCTGTCTCTCCCTTTATTCCCCACCCCCTTCTTTCGTTTTTCGCCTCTTCGAACCGCCGCGCGGTGGGAAATGCAAGCGACAGAATTTGACTCGAAGAAGGGAAGAAGAAGAAGAAAGAAAGAAGAAGAAGAAGGGAAAAAAAAAGAAACGGGAGTCACGAAGCCATCGTCTTGCACCAGCTCGACCAGCTACTTGCACGGACGACGTTTCTGGGGGTGGGGGGGGGGGAAAGGGGGGGGGGGGGGTGAAGAAAAAGGGAAAGTCTTCCTTCCATCTCAATATTCCCGGCGCCCTCGTCCCGTTCACATTTTGCGCAGGGGAAAAAAGGGGTCTAGCTGGACAAGGACATTTTCACTTGGCCTCCTGTTGTTTTGGGGTTGGTGTTGTGGGGGTGTTGTTTGTGTGTGTGGGTGGTGTGTTTTGTGTGTGGGGGGTGTGTTGGGTGAGAAAGGAGAGGAAGGGCTGTGTGACATGTTGGTTAAAGAGAGACAGAAAACACACACCCTTTGCAACATGCACGACGCTCGGTTATGGCAGTGCAGCCGCAGCCCCCGGAGGAAGCGTTGACCTCCCAGAGGAGAGAGAGAGAGGGGAGAGAGAGAGAGAGAGAGAGAGAGAGAGAGGAGGGGGGGGGGCCACTCGGAATCAGTCTGGGCAATACATGTCCGCCCTCCCAGCGGCGCCCCGCACGGCGCAGCACGCGGCTAAGGGGGGACTGCTTGTCCTACAGGTCGCCACTCAGATGACGCATCGGCGTGGCGGTGCGGAGTGCTCCCTTTGGGGGGTACGCTGCGCCACTGGGAGGGGAAGCTAGACGTGCGGACCGAGCTCGGGACCGAGCCGGCCAGGGTGATGAGGTCCGCCCCGAAGGCGCCCGCCGCCGCCTCGTCGCTCCGCCCGCGAGTGCGAGAGAGACGACCCCAAGGGCAGCGTCAAGTTGTGTGTGTATTTCCATGGCCAATGGTAATAAGAGTCCAGCAGGGTCAGGGGCCCGGGGCTGGCTGGCCCCGGCTGTCTCTCTCGCCCCCAAAAGGGGGCGCCCCCATGATCGGGGGGGGGGGAAAAAAAAAGGGGGGGGGAGGAAAGGGGGAACCCCCCGCCCCACCCGGTAGGGGGAAAGGGCGCTTCTGCCAAAACACGAGGGACTTCGGTAACATGTTTTACAAAGCTCGCTGGTCCTAGTTGCTTCGGGTTTTTTTCTCATCACTTTAAGTGGGCCGCTGCAGTACACGCACTCTCCCGCCTTTTACTGACTTTGTCGTCAGTAACCAGGACTATTGCCTACAACAGTAAAATGTAGTAATTTATTCTTGGGCACGTACAATTTTCTGCATAAATATTGAAGAAAAATTTTTTTTCAATAAGCTAAGACTCCAAATATGGAAATAATAATAACCAAAGCGAAAATTACGCATTATTGTTGCACAAAAATTTCTTGAGGTGCTACTGACAAAATGTTAATACCAAGCGAGTCTGAGAGTGCGTAAAATTAATTTTGTAAGGACTTTTTTTTCCGAGGGTGGTAGAGCCAGCACGCCCGGCCTCCCCGGCGCCTTTCGCTGCTAACGCTGGAAACAGGCGGCCTGAGGCCTTGGCGAACCCTGGGGTTTTTGAGCGGGCCTGACCGGCCTCCCGCGTCCCAGCGACAGTCACCCTAAAAAAGGGAAAGGGGGGGGTTTCCCAAAACGTGGAGACAGCCTTTTTTTGGCCCCGCATCAGCTTTCCCCCCGGAGGCAACCCACACTGGCAAAACGTTTTCTTGGACTTCCTTGTCGATGACCACTACTCTACAAAAAGGACCCTGTAAATTTATCGTCAAAATAATTAATTTTTTTGATGGCAGCCCAACCTGATTTATTGCAATTAGTTTTAGAAAACGAGGGAAAGAGAGTCAAGTTTTGCCGACATGCATGGCGCTTCGTGTAACGGTCAACGAAACACGCGGCCCTTAAATCCGGAACCCCCCCCCGTTGCTTTGGGCCTTTTGTCCCTCTGTCCGTCTGTCCCTCTTTTTGCCCTGTCTGTCTGGGTCTGTTCCGTCGTCTGTCTGCCTGGTCGGTCGCCGCCGCGCTTGAGGCGCGGCCCTTTTGTTTCCCGCGGCCTCTGTTTCGGCGCCTGGCGGTCGCCGGGCCGGCCCCCTTTAGGCGGTCGCCCCGCCGTTTGAGGGCCCAGCGAGGGTAAACCCCACGGACCCCCCCCAATTTCCCCCAAAACCAGGGGTCAAACACCCACCTTTGGGAGTGTAAG